ATTGTAGTCTTTTGCAGATGCTTCACCAAATGGTCATTAGCATTATGGTACAAAGATGATCACACAGCACGCATTTTATACCTCTCAGCCTTTATTCACTTAGTCTTGCAACATATCTGTTTTATTTGTAAAATTACTGCCTCCCATGTTTAAGATGTGGCTTACGCTTGCTTTGGAATACACTGGTGACTCTTCACACTAAATTCAGTGTACTACTGTAACTGCTGTTGTTACAGATAAAACATCATTCAGTTTTGGATTTAACATAAACAGGATCATTATGTTTGGAGAGTGTTCCAAAGCCTGCTATTCAAGCAATCTGTGACATAAATAATGCAAGACCTCTTCTTTCTCCAAATGACTTCAGTTCAAGCACAGACTTGGAGAGATGGAAGCCCAAATTTGTACAGCCGTCACAAAATTCAATCTATTTCTGGTTCTCCAATTGAATTATGAATCTGAGTCTTCTACTGTTTTCTATTAGCACCAACCCACGCACTCCTACCCTTTGCCAAGCCACACAGAAAGGAATCTTATTTGTGAATATTCCTGAGCTTTATTCTTATATTAAAATGGAAGTAAATCCCGGCTAATCTGAAAAGCCTTGTTTTCTTTTAAAAGAAAGTAAGGTAGAAAATTGGTCTTTTTTCCATCCCTTGACCCACGACCTTTGAACCACAACCTCCTTGCCACTAAAGCGTTCAACACCTCATTTAATCTCTCCTCGCTGCACTGGCACAGCACTGAAAAAGGAAAAGGGGGAAAAAATAATCTGGGGACTTCATCAATTTTTCATGAATTTTCATTTAGGCCAAAGCCCGCTCTTACAGCGGTCGATAGATCAAGCTGCTGTCACATATTTAACACCTGGGGCTACAGCTGCTCTCTCTGGGGGCTGCTGCTGACTCAGGCTGGATCAGAGGCTGCCTGAGTCAGTGCAAGGACCCCTCGTGCTCTTTCTGTTGCTTACATGTGGCACCCCAGTGCTTGCAACTGAAATCCTATCTAGGGTAGCTATTGCAAATGCATCTCCTGATATTCCCAATGGAAAGCTCAACCACATAGTTTCAATTGTTAATTCTTACACTGTGAAAAACTGCTTTCATTTTAAAACTAAAAGTCTAAAAGAATGGCTTCCAAAAATTAAAACAGTTTTATAAAATGTATAATTTCATAAGATTAATTCAAACCTACCCTCTTCTAAAACCCTCTCAAGACAATTTCATCATTAAGATATTTCTAATAATACCAATCCCTGTTCAGTTTCACTTAAGGAACTGCAACATTTTAATACACTAAAATGAGAAGAAATGTTTTATTCTTTTGAATACAATTTTAAAAATAGTTTTAGGACTAGAAACTTTATTTTTAAAAGATTTAACCATAGAATATATGAATACATCAGAATTTGCCACAGACACAATGGAAGAATGGTTTTGTTGCTAGCATTATTTTTTTCTTTCTTATTGTAGGAGCTTCCTCAAAGGGAAAAAGAGAAGTGACCCACAGAAAGCACATCATGGATTAATGCATTACAAGAATGAAATGGTATATATCATATCAATCGTAAACTGTGCCTTCAAATACAAACACCTATTTCTTCCTAGGTATCCCTCTGGAATGGATACTTCTAAAATTAAAGACAAGGTTCTTAAATCATGTCATATGTGTTAAGGATGTTGTTTAAGTAACTTCTCAAGCCTAAGTTCCTCACTGTTCCACTGACTTTGAGACTTTGTTTTCTGAGAATTATATTCTGTGACTCCATGGTTCTGTTTTTCTGAGTATATCGGCACAACCAAATATTTGCTCTTGATTTATGCACGTGCTCTGAGTAGGCATGGATCTAAAAGCAGACTTAATTGCTTTAGGTGGGCTGGCATCTAAACTCATCTTGCTTGGGAAAGTTAACTGCTCCTAGATCAGAAAGAGCTTAGGGACTTCATCGACTTGCAAAAAAACCACTCCAGAAATAAGGGGGAAAGTGATTGTATTCAAGATGGGCCACATTCGGCACTCTGAATCACTACATGAACCAACTGAATTTAACTTAAGTTTTTTTCTTATGTCTTTATGCCAAAAAAATAAAAATAAAATAATAATACAGATACATCAGAAGATTTTCAGTCTCAGTGCCAGATGTCCATGGAGGGGAAAAAAGGAAAGAGAAAAGAATGAGCCACAATTAACATCTCTGTATCACTTGAATACACAAGCATGACCACACTTAACAGATACGAAAAAAATAAATATATTTCTTCATAAATCATTCAAAAGTTCCAAGTGCGCATTGTTGGGGACTGACAATTTAATAAGCAAAGTAAAACAATTACTGATTCTTTCAGGAAAACAGCAGACTCAAGCATTTTAGACCCACAAAAAGCAGCGGTTTGTCTCTAATGGCACAATTTGAGGCCACCTACAGTCAGCTAATAATCCAAAACCCTGTTGTCAGCAAAGGATAACCTCCTTTTTCTGGTGATGAAAACAGTGTAGCTCGGTGTGAAAAGAGCAGTTTTCAACACCATTAGAGACAGCACAAGGAGGCCCTGATAGCATGGGGCTGTCTTGGTTCCCTCAGGCAGGGCCGTGGTACCCAGGCAGCTCAACCTCCTTAAGCAGCAGCGGGACACAGGTGTAGGAGGACGTCCCGCTGACAGCAGACTGTCAGCAACAACTCATTTCCCTAGTCTGCAACTGGACTGTTGCAGGGCCTGCCCACCTTCTTCAGTCCTGAAATGCTAGCATTAGAAAAACAGTTAAGAGCCTTGAAATAGCTGATCCCTGAAAGTCACTTGAAAATTTGATTTATAGCCAAAAGTCAAACAAAAAATGTCTCAAACCCAAAGAAAACTGGGCAGTTTTGCTATCATCCTCCACAGTATTCTTTTGATATATGACTAGCATTGCCATGTGCTTTCACAACCAGGGAGGATAAAACAGCAGAATCTCTAAAATTAACCAAGTAATAAAGACATTTATCACATTTTTTTTTCCCTTTGAAAATACCTTCCTTTAAGCACAGCCATGGTATGGCTCAAGGAAAGACAAAGCACCATTAAATTTAAGTAGAAATGGAATGCCAGCTTTAGACTGCTAAACCGTTTAATTGGAAAATTTCAGTCAGTTACATTTCAAAGCTATGAAAACAGTAAAATAATCTGGTGTCAGGTGCATGTTGCTATTGAAGAAACTTTGGCTGTGGTTTCAGATCTCAGGTTGCATGTTCTATGACCCTTCTCTAAAATGCTTCTGACAATGAAATCTGATTTTGCTATTTTGAAGTCTTCTACTGTCTCACATGCAGTTCATGCATGACCTGCCACCAGATACAGTGGTTAAAAAAGTAACTCCAAAGACTGCGGATATTGTAACAAGAGTCACACAGAGGCCACTGAAGAAGGGAGCAGTAAAAATCGACAGAATATAGAACACCTCTGAATTTTAAAATAACCAATCACTTCAATTTGATGACTCAAAGCATACCTAGAACAACCTTCTGAACTTCAAAATGAGAAGTCTGAATCTCCACAGGATTGCCATAAAGATTTCAAAATGTTTGTCTTTTTCACATAGGATTTCTCTACAGACAGCTTAAACCACACATACAAACAGAAATTATTCAGTTCAAGTTTATATATAGTCATACTCACCCAGCTTTCAACCTTCCACAAATCAGTCGTCTTCTCAAGTCCTAAATAACTACCAAAACTGAGTAACGTTCTGAAGCTTATATCAGCACATGTGCATTTATTAGTGACTTGAATGAACAACAAACCTGTTTTCATTTTTCATTTGAAACAATTCCGACTCTTGCTTACGACAGGTGAAGTACAGTGAACAAGTCTGTTCTACGTGGCCTATGCCAACATCTAAATAATTCAAGAATAGCATTTTCTGTAATTTATGAAAATATTGAAACCTATTGAAAATATTGAAGATTACATAGCAATAGCTATGAGAGTCTGCAGACTGCATTAGGAATATTTTTGTTTTCTTTTCTGCTTTTTCATTATTTAAACTACTATGCCTTCTTGTGAATACTTAAATCCACTCTACCAAATAAGTGATGCAAGTTTGTGCTGAAGCCCTACTTCAGTCATACACATTTTGCTGAAACTAGTGTCAAATAAAGAACTGTGGGGGGAAAATTGAATTCCAGGAAGAGGACAACATTTATAATTCTACTAAAACACACATTTATGTGACGAAACAGAGCTACTCTTAGTTGATACTCTGAATTAAAAAAAAAAAAAAAGTTTTTTTTTTTCCCCCAACATGACCAAGCAGCAAAAATCAACATACAAAACACTGTATTTCATGTACGATGAGCTTGTCTGCTATATGAATATAATGACTGCCTCTGGTAACTCTACTGCAAGCATATCATGCATACTGGGTGGTCTCTGTAAGAGCAGTGATGACTTCTCCTTTAAGACAATCAATAGAGAGTAAGACTGCTCTGGATGATATGAGAAATGGCCAACAATTTCACTTGCCATTCACATAATGAATGATGCCTGTATCAAGTTTATGATAAAGGAGCATGCATTGAGGTTTCCAGCAGTACAGAACATGAGTCGCCAAGAAGCTGTCTGTTTCTGTTGAGGTAACAGATGACTAAATAAAGAGAAACAGACAGTGCACCTTATATTAAATGATAGGTATTTTTCCACATTAGTTTCAGTATAACCAACTTTAGTCATAATTTAGAAATTAGATTATTCTTTAGAGGAAGATTAGCCTTTGTCCATGCTTGTGCCAATCATGATTATACACTGGTTAGAATCCTACTTCAGTATAAATCACATTCTGTATGGTCACTGCTACTGAATAAATGCACATAGAAATGCCTTGACTAAGAGCTATAGCTAACGACAAAATGCCACACTTACCTGCATTCATCTCCCAAACTGCTGAACATACGCGAGTGCTGGATAAGAGTGTGAAAGCAACTTTAAAAGACTTACACAGTGCTAATCATACAAAACTTTACTCACATGCCACTTCCAGAGATGCGTTGCGACTCACAGCTTCTCCAAGATAGTTCCTTGCTACACAAACATAACTTCCTTCATCGGGCTTACTCCTGCGTCCATGCACAATTCGTAAGAAAAATAAAGATCCGCTAGGCAGCAGCATACGGTGGGAGCGAGGATCATCTTTGTCAGTTTCCACTCGCTCTCCATCTTTGTACCATTCAATAGTGGGAGTTGGCCGTCCTTCAGCTTTACAGTTCAAGGTCGTTGGTTCTCCTTTAGAAACTATCACATCTGAAGGATGCTCAACAATCCGAGGTGGAAAGTCCTCCTGGCGGAGACGAGATCCTAGAAAAAGAAAAGAGTGGGGGAAGAGTAATTTATTTGTACGTTTGGCTTCACAGAAAGTTCTCACAAGTTTTTCTTTCAATGCCGCCAAAATTTTCACAAAAAAGAAAAAGACAACCTGTACGCAGATGACATCATCTGCTATTGTTTTTACCTGATGTCAGAGACTGTATCACAGACTTTCACAGCTAATAACCAGACTTTGTACTAGAAACACACACCTCTGACCAAGACATTAACAAATCCATACCACATGTAGACTGGACGTGTATGTAAGAGAATTTCTTACATATACCAGCATGACATTTTTTCCTTGGAACATAAATCTTTCTATTTACATTAGCTTATAGATCCCTGCACCCTTTCAAATGCCACTCATGGCCACTGCTCTCCCATCCTTTCATCTGTCAGACTTGGCATATGGACATCTCCAAAAGTCCTTTGGACCCATTGTTTAACTCTTTCCCCCCCACCCCAGCTCCCCCCGCGCCATTTAATAGTGTGCATTGTGCATGTATGGAAAGCAAAGGAAAAAAATCCCAATACAGAAGAAAAAAAAAGAACAATTAAATCCTGACAAGTATCCCTTCTTTTATTAATTTCTAGTGCAGTAGTTGGCAGTTTTAGCTGTTTAAAGTATCTGAAGTCATTCATAATCTCTACTTTTATTTGGAAATCTCTAATGTCAACTACACTTCAGAAATTTTCAGTGAATTGCATGTATGTACGCACACACACACAAATATAATACAGGCATACAACAGTAATTTAGTGGACTCTACAGTAGTAGCTTTGTGCCTTGCTCTGTATTTTGCTGTGCAGACACTTCAACACTACTTCTGTAGTTCCTTTACACTCAGTTGCCTTCCTACAGCCCGGGGCAGCAAAGAAGCACAACTGGATCATTGTCCTCCATCCTTTGCCCACACACCCTTACTCCCATCACTAACAACCTGGAATAGAGAGGAGAGGTGCTAAAGGAGGGGAGACCCCATAAAAGTACGGTATGAGAAAGCAATAAGCACTGAGTTTATCATCCTGGAGACAATCCAGTGCCAACCTTCCATCACAGACTTTACCTCATAGTTCAGTTTCACAAAATCAGAGCATCCTGAACCTTCACTGAACTCTTGTGAAAAACAAAACAAAACAAACCAAAACAACCAGTATCACAACAGTATCCAAATTTTGCAACACCCTTTTTTACCCAAAGAAAGTTTATTATTTTTTCAAAATGGTTATGCGCCTCATTACAGCTATTTGCAAATTGCAGAGATGAATATATGCAAGAACAGCATCACCCAACAGAAACACAAGGTCCAGCACTCCTAACTTGAGCTTCAACTATTCAGATATAGTTCATTACTGCATATTTAATTAGAATATATTAGCTGAGCAAACAGCTTCTCTGCAACAAACTCATCACAGTGGTTCACGCCTCTAAATTGCTCCTCATAAAAACTGCCCTCCTAATTGCTAGCGCAAACCATCTTTTCTAGCATGGGTCATAAAAATCCTTTGAGTGGTGCTGCCATTCCAGCACAATTGGGCCGCACTTCTTAAATACAAGGTCTATATTAGCTTCTGCAGTTCAGTGAAACATTTGTCTCAATCTTCTGACCAGCAGTTTTGCTGAGTAGTAGAAACAAGATTTAATAACAGTATCTTAACTATATTCTAGGCATTATACATTTAAAAATATTGTCAACACCTCACTGATTCCAAAAGTTATGAGAAAAGGAATAAGGACCCACTCTACATACTGAATCCACCTTTGGACTTAGTCTTACTAACACTATGGTCATTAAACTAAGGCTTGGCATAGAAATAAGGTGCTATGCCACTCCTCTACAAATGGACTCTCTCAGCAGCTACCAGATTCTACTACCAGTACAGTCAAGGTATCTGTAAATCCATACTGCTAGCATATACGCACAACAATTTATACCAAAACACAAACAGATATACTTAGAACACACTTGGAATAGTAAAAAAGTATTTCATTTGCCCCTTCTACTGTCAAAATTACATTTACAATCCAACAGGAGAATTTAAACTTAGGTATCTCTATGCTGTGACTGCATACACAACATGGAAAAAGACTGAAATCACCATTATAGATTATGAATTTCACAATACATAGGACAAAAAAGTAAACTGCAAACACTGAGACACATATAATGTTCTCTACACATATCTACCAGCTTATTTCATTTCTTACTCTGAAGACAAAGCCACTCACCAGTTGCGTTAAGAAATTCCTAACATTACCAGTAAGAATTTCAGAGCGACCGAAGTCAGAGAAGACTGGCAGATCTCACTACATTTTTAGACAGTTAGCAAAAAGTAACCAAATTTGTAACAACAATGAAAAGTGCAAATCCAAAATATGAAGTAGTTTTCTGATGCACAAATATTTGGTGACAATGCTCAGAAGTCCACGCAGCACATTCTACGGACAACTACAGACCTTATCCAATCCCGTGAAAAGGGCTTTCTTCCACTACAAATGAAACCTTTTGCCTTCTACAGACCAATTCAAAGCCTCACCTCAGGTCATAACACAACTAATGCTTCCTCTTCATTACTAATGTATAATCACAAAACTTATGGTTACTAACGTCTGTGCTCAAGGAAGGGCTGAGCTGCAGGCAGCAGAGATGGTGCCAATGAGCAAGGAGAGAGGCTTGGACTATGTTTGGAGGGGGCTCATACTACGCACTCCTGGGATGTCTGGGTGTACCTTCTGCAATCAACTGCTTCAAGTCATTTCCTTCGGTGTGCACTTAAGAGAGGGGAAGGAAAACACACAAGAAATCAACCATGGACTTCCTCCTTCAAATATAAACAGAGCACCAACAGCTATTCCAAAAAGATACCCCGATTTTAAAAGAGCAAACAAAACCAAAAACCTGACCCCATCACTTCTTTTCTGGCTGTCTACGTGCCTGAAAGTGACCGTGTCATATGGTGTTTTCCTTGTTAGGTTTCGATTCTTCCACTGTAGCTCCCCCCCCTCCCCCCCAGATACAACCTAATTTAGAAGAAATAGAAGAAACAGTTAGCTCAATCCCATGAGCTAACTGACCAGAAGATACCTTCTTTCCTTTCACTGGAGAGTGAGAAGGAACCACAGCCTATCCAAGACAGCAAGGTGCCTCACTGAAGCAGGCAGTCTGTGCTGCATCCTGGGCTATCCATGCAGCTTCCTTCTCAATTTTTCCCTCAAGGATTTCCAATACACTTACGTCTCAGGGATGCATACAGCATGTGAATAACCCCTGAATTTAAGAGTCCCTAAGTAGCCATTACCATGATGGACTGTAACGATTTCAAATTAGTTGTTACATGCTGTTGGACAAAACCACACCTTTGGAAATGTCCTGCAATATCCATGACTAATTCAAAGCTGCACCTATGAAAGGGAAACATTGATACTTCTCTGAAAACACACTCACAGAATATTCTAATGCTTGTTGTGTGTTTGAGTTTGCATAGTTATTGCAGATGGATGGCTGCTTATTGCCCATTTCCAGAAGAGTAGCTTCATATAGGTCTTATCAACTAATTCACAGAGAAAGTTTTAGGCTCACACTTTTGCTTATTACTACACAGAATAATTAAAGCCACCTTTAAAAACAAAACAACAACAACAACAAGAAAAACACCACATAAGAAAAAAGCTGAAGTGCAAGCCTATTACAGTATTCTACCTTTGAAATTACTGTTTCATTGTTTATACTACAGCAATAAACAAAAAGGTGCTAAAATCACTGCAACAAATGAAAAGACATAAGCCACCTCTGTTCAACTTGCCTCTCTATACTCTTCTCTGGTGTATCTTGAAACCCTCATCTCATATGTTACAAATTCTGTCAGGCAGAACCAAAATAAATAAAAATAAAAATCAGCAATCCTATTGCATTTCTAGCATCTGCCACAAAATCAGATACTCTTATATTAATGCCAATAAAAAATCGAGGACAAGAACAAGTGAAGTTATAAAAGAATTAGGTGTAGTAACATTCTGCCTTGATGCTATCATGAAACAAAAATCACAAAAAGCAAGGAAAAAGCCCACAGCATTCACACAACCTCAGTGTCACCTGCAACTCTGCTGGTCACACACCCCAGCAATGTGGGGGTGCTTGCGTTAATACATTCACCACACATTGAAAACCATCCCAATCTATCTTCTTTGAGCTCAGATTCTCATATAAAAAATTAACAATTTCAATGTCTCTGGATTTTAATATTAGTTCAATGTGGTAGCTTTCAAGGAAGAAGGAAACAAAACAAAACAAAACAAAAAAAAACATTCTGTCTTAATACTTTTGCTGAGACCCTGCTACAGCCAAAACCACCACACTATACCAGACAGCTCAAACTTCTCTCCCTCAGACGGTGTTTTTCTGTTTGATTTCTAAACGACGATGAGGCAAGGAAGGAAGCAGCATCTGCAAAGCAGCTTCTCATACCTACTTAGAAACCTATTAGTAGAAATAATTCAGGCTTTCAGAAAACGTGGATTTGGAGATGTGTGAAGTGATGTATGCTGCCATAGTACATCAGATGCTCCTGCAGCTAGGAAATGTAACATGGCCAAGGCTCTCATGCAGTATTTCCTCAGTAACTTAAGGGAATTTCACAGTCCTCAGCGAGCAAATGAGAACTACTACAGTAGCAGGAGATAACTTATGGAACAGTATTAATGCGTGGCTTTATCTCATGTGAGTTTTTCACCTTTACAGATTAAAACGTTTTCGCTTCCCCCCCCAGGTAACAGTAAACTGTTACTTTGCTGTTTAATTGTTGGCTATTGTTCACCCTCACCCCATTTAACATTGTTCAACTTTCAGCTACAAGTCAGCACTGAATTAAAAGAAACAGTTATAAAGCTAACTCTATTAAAAAAAAAAAATCATCTTCAAAGCCATTCAGCCAATAGAAACACTTATTTCAGTAAAAAAGCTCTATACAAGGTTTTCAGTCATCGACAG